GACGTCAACAGTTGCATTGTCAATTAGTAGGCAGACTGTAGCTGTGTAGGAAGTAGGCTGGGCGCCGAGCGCCAAGTAGGGAGATAGGGCCTGGACACTCATGTTGGTGGTGGCAAGAGCAAGCTCTCATTGACATTGGTTTTCAGTGTTACGATTCTTCATTGGTGTTATATTGGTGCATTTCTGCTTTCTGGACACTGATACTATCTGGCCTTCAATGTGATTGTGCATGCTGGACATTGTCATCTCGCTATTGCTCATTTCCCTTGCATCTCTTCTTCTTCTTCTTCTTCTTCTTCTTCTTAGGCATATTACAGATAACAGAATGAAGACTGCGTATGCAAGTTCTATACTGTCTGTGAGTCTGCAGTGATGGCGAATTTTCAGGTAAGTCCCAAACTCTGTGGTGGTAGCACTCACAGCTAGCATGACCGGAAAAGTTTAAAATTAGGCAGGCACCAACGGACTTAGCTCAGTTGGTACCCCCATAAACTGTTGAAATGCAGACCTGAGCTCACATCCAGATGGAACCAGATGAACAAAATTCCTGAATTACCTAGGGCCAGTCAGTTCCCCCCCCCTCTAAACACATGCCTCTGCTGTGCCATATGTCACACTCTTCATATCTAGCGTACAGCTAGCAGGACTCTACAAAACTGACCGCCCCTATAAAACTGACTCTATTAAAAAAAATGGCAGGCCTCTGCACAAGTACGGCATGGAGCAACATACATGAGAAAGGGGAGAACAACTTCAACAACAAGAAACAAAACACTTCAAAACAGCGAGAAAAAAAAAAACAAAAAAAAAACGAAAGATGAAAAGATTGACAAGCCATTTTGCCGCCATGACATTATCTACTTACCGCCATGACAAACTCGTCTTTATGAGCCATGGTGTTATAATGAGCCTGCAATAGAGTTTTATATAAAAACAAAAGAACAAGAAAAGCTCAGCAAGCCCACGAAACTTCGAAAAGAAGGCCCAGAAGCAAAAAAGGAAAGGTGAGGGAGGATGTTGTGTTGTGCATGTTATGGCAAAAAATAGTAAAATGCAACCAAGATTGACAAGGAGCCCATAAAAAAAGCATATCATTTGGCAGTTCTGAGCCCATGCAACACAATTGGTTAACGGGGACCCCCACTTTCAGTTCCTGGCCAACGGGCCTAAAACTGAATTTCGGGTTTTGGAAACCTTGGGGGTCAATTTTTTTTTGTGGTTTTTCTTTTCTTTTCTTTTTTTCTTACCTGTTTTTGTTTTAAGTCAAGGTTGCTGTGCGTCAAATTTGGTGTCTTTTGGATGTTAAAATCCTCCGCTCACATTCTGAAATTTCTGAAATTCGGGTTAAGGCGAATTTTGGCAAACTTTGCGTGAAAGTGCACTTTTGCCTTGAAGTTTTGTACTGTTTTTATTTTTATGTTTTTTGGCGAACTAAGAACTTTGCATGAGACGCAAGCGACCAGCCCCCTCCTTAGGTCAACCAGCACCATGAGTCCAAGCATACCGACGTCTTACCGCTGCAATGATGGAAATCATTAGTTAGAGGGCGAACGCAAAGGAGGTCCAGGTGGACTGGAGGACACAAGGAATAGTCATCAGGAGTTTAGAATGTCAACGGACTGAGTAACATAGTGGAAAAACAAGAAAAATTGAATGACACAATCAAAGGACTGACGGCGCACACAAACAAACCAGCAGATATAATCCTGTTACAAGAAACCCACCTCACCTTCTCAGCAGAACACAACAGAATTTGAAAAGTCTTAGCAAAGAAACTAGGAGTCAAAGACGAAATATGGTCAGCAGATAATGAGTCAAGCACAAAAGGGACAGCCATCCTCATACCAAAATCATCTTGTGTCTACACGGCAGGTTCTGTAATAGGCATGGAGGTAGACACAGTAGAGGATAGATGGTGCCTCATGGATCTAAAATGGAAAGAGGAAGAATTCAGAGTAATGAATGTATACGCGCCAAACAGTTCCTCAGACAGAGCAACATTCATAACAAGCATTGGGCATTTGATCACTCCCTTCTCAGCCTGCATTCTGGCGGGGGACTGGAACGTGACTTTGGATCCCTCCACTGATCATATTTCTAGATCCTCTGCTAGTCAGCCTAGACAGGAGGCAGTGCCCATCCAGAAGCTGATACTGGATCACAATCTGGTTGAACCATACCATACTCTGCATCCGGGGACAAAAGCCTGCACGCTGGTAAAAAAGAATCATGCACAACACATCGCTTTCTCCTTCATCGATTGCTTCCTTCTCTCAGAGATGCTAATGGGAACAGCCAAAAGTGCAAAGATTTTTCCCCTACAACCCTACCAGGGTCTGGATCATAAACCCATTGAACTCGTTATCAGTTTTCATCAGTATGTAAAAAAACGTTATAGCTTTCACAAACTGAACTCCCTCCTATTGAGCCAGTCCTTCCAGGTGGGAGTTAGGGAATGCTGGCAGAATATGAGGGACAGTTACCTACCTATCCATGATAGGTGGGAATGGTTTCAAGAAAGTTACTCTACATTATCACAAACAGTAGCCAAAATGTCAAGGAAATTGGAGAATGACAGAAAGTAGAGGAAACAAGCTCTGGAGACAGCCCTCAAGATCGCAAAGACAAATGTAATTGACAATCCTTCCTCGACGCTATATACAAACATTTTTCAAAAAGCAAGGGAAAAACTAACCATTTGGAGATGGTGGGAGTTGAAGGGCTTACAAATAAGAGTCAAAATGAACGAACATGAGCTGAGTGAATCAATGTCAAAACATTTCTTTGCGAGAATCAAAACAAATGCAAGATCAAGTTCTATAGAAGGGCTGAAAACCCTTACAGGCCCACCCGAAACACTAACGGACAGCGAAGGAATGTTGAACATAGCCAGGGAATTCTATGAAGACTTGTACCATACAAAGACCCCTACGCCCACTCCACCTAGCACCAGAGAGGCATGGTCCAGGATGCATCAGTATTTAGAACAAACAATATCATAGGAGCAAGCAGAATCTCTTGACAAACCCATCACTCTGGAGAAACTGCAATTTGCAGTACATAGTATGAATAAACAACAAGACACCTGGGATCGACGGACTAACGAAGGAATTCTGGGAAAAGTTCTGGCTGCTTCTAGGGGAGGATCTGCTGAACTTCTACAATGACAGTTGGCAAAAGGGGGAGTTATGGAATCTGCTGAGCAGTAGCGTAGTGACCTTGCTGTATAAAAAAGGTGACAAAGAAAAATAAGAAATGACAGACCTATATCGCTACTAACACTCCCCTATAAAATCCTGGCCAAAGCCCTGGCTTTCAAGATCTTGGATTTGACAGACAAATGTTTTCACATCGACCAAACAGGCTTCATCCTTGGAAAGTACATACTGGACAACGAACTTACCCTCAATGAGGCAGTCAATAAAGTCAGGGAAAAGAGGATTAACACAACAATATTTTTCATTGATTTTGAGAAAGCATACGACCAGGTCAATTGGGCCTTCCTCGATGCAAGCGCGGAATAGATGGGAGTAGGGCCGAACTTCAAGAAATGGGTACGTATTCTATACAACGATGCCATAGGTTGCGTCCAAGTCAACGGCCTGCTGTCAGAGTGCTACCCAATCTCACGTTCGGTCCGCCAAGGGGACTTGCTAGCAGCCCCAATTTTCTTGTTTGTGATGGATGCAGTAACATCATTCCTACGCAAAGACCCTTCCGTACACAGGCTACCAGAAGTGAATGTAGGATCAGCTCACCACTTAAGTTTTCCTACTGTAATAATGCTTGCAGACGACCTCACTGTCCTCATTCGGGCCTCAGACTCATCTTTCGCTGCGCTAGTAAGAGCCATGAAAGCATTCAGACGGGCATCAGAAATAAAAATCAAATGGGGAAAAACAATTGGGTGGTGGTTAACCGAGGACGCGATCCCCAGCCCCAGGGTCCGGAGGCAGCCATGCCTTGGGAAACACCGGACACTCCCACGTGATACCTGGGTATTCTGATGACTAAAGAAGGCCTGGCCCCTCAAATGGCCCAAAATGTACTCTCAAAACAAATAAGCAAGCTTGGCAGGTGGGGAAATACATTAACTTCCTTGCTGGGTCGCGCATTAGCCATTAATACATCCATCTTCTCAATGATGTGGTACATAGCTTCAAGCTGGACAATCCCAGACCAATCACTTAAAGACCTCAACCACAAAGCAAGAGCGTACCTATGGTCAGGAAACCCCAACAAAGAGAACTGTATACCAAAGATAGCATGGCATTATATCACAAGGCAACCAGACAAAGGGCGCATGGGTATTATAGACCCTAAACAAAAGCCCTGCAAGCCAAACGGATTGTCAAACTACTGACCGACCAAACCTGCATCAGCATGGAACAAACTGGCCTTGGATAGCATAAGGGGTTTAGCCCCAACAGCGACACCAGCGAACACGTCCACTTTATTTTGGGTAATGAATAAGGAATGGACCCCAAAAACAGGCCGAAGTAATCAAAGAGGAGGAGCTCGTCCAAATCAAGCCAGGCCTCCCACACCCTATTGGGCTGCCTTGCTTCAGATATGGTGGGAAATTATGCCAAAGAAGGTAGGTAAACCCAGGTCCAAAGAGGAGGTACTGAGGCAACCGCTATTCGACAACCCTTAGGTGAGAGATGAAAGCGATCACTCACTCTCCCTCAAACCAAGGGGTATGCGATGGCTGTCATGGATAAAGCATGGAATCTGGAGAGTGAGCCATATATGGGACAAAGAAAAAAAAGATTGGCTGACCAATCCGGAACTTACCACCCACCTTAAAGGATGCCATCGGCGGGAGGAGAATTTGCAAACTATCATCAAATGCATTCCAAAAGGCTGGAAGGAGCTGCTGAGTGAAGCGCCGACTTGAAAAACTGGCGAATGGGGAGTCAAGATACAGGAATTGTCCCCCTCAAGAGCCTACCAATTTTTTTACAAACAGCAGGGATCAGATACCCTGGCTGTCTTTACCTCCTTCCCAATCGCGTCATCACTTCACGGCTCTTCATCCATTCTGAATACGGATGTGGAAAGGACAGTCTTAGATTTGCTTATTCTCAGGAAAGTAAGAGTTCTGGGCACATGACCCAAAGCAATCTTCAGAATGGATATGGCGATTCAAGACTTGGAATTCGACCCGGCAGAATGGGCATGGACACCAAACACAAGCAGAAGTCTCAAAACGAATGTCCACATTCAGGAATACCATAGCTACGTTGGACCGGACACCGGACCGATTCCAGACCCCGGACCCCGGACCTCCCGGGGCCATCCAGACTTCCGGAAAACCGGAATATTCCGGAATTTCCGGACCGGTCCGGATCCCCCATATTGTCCAGAAAAAAAAAAAAAAAAAAACACCACCTCTACTCCTCCTCCTTCTCAGTTAAAGCATGTCATCCATGTGCAGGGGCCATGCTAATCTTCTCCTTCCAATGTTAATGAAATGTCCCAAGGGCAAGATTAGCATGGCCCCTGCGCCAAGATGACACGCATGAATGGGGAAGTGGACCAATAAAAAATAAATAACCCAAAAGGAGGAGGAGGGGGAGGAAACGAGGAGGAGGAAGACAAGAAGAGAGGAGGACGACAGAAAAAAAAATTGGGCCCACGTATTCCTTATTGAATAGTCTTTTTCGGAAGTTTTTCCCGAAGGACCCCAGCAGTGCATCTGCAAGGATCCAATATCTCAAGAGACGTTCGGCAAATTTCGTGTGAGAGCGAAGCAGGCCAGCAATATATGTTCTGGATCCGAAGTCAGGTCTGCTTTCCAGCAGTTATGGGTCACAATTACAACTACATGCTACCGTAGCTCTCTCTTTTCTTTTGTTTCGTTTTCCTACGAGCAGCGGCCCTAGGGCCTTTGCTCCACTGGTCACT